TGAGGGTACAGATATGGCTAATAAAAACCAGAACTCATTTTATTGAGCACCTGCTTCATGTCAGGTCACATCAGCCCACAGGGCCTGGAAACTTCATGCCACCTTTATAGCGGTTCACACCTGTAAGTGGTATAATGGGGATTTGAACTCAGGCAGGGCCACGTTCTTGGCATGTTCTTCAATGCCATGCCATGTTCCAGCCCATGAAGAACTCATGGCCTTGGGTGGAGTTGCCAGGGTCCAGAGAGACATCTAACAAGGTGTGATTCTTGCTGTAGTGAGAGAAGGAAAATAGCGCTGTGTGGTCAGCTCTCCTGAATAGGAGGAATTCAGGAAGAGTTTGATCCAGGGTGCTGGGCTAGAGTCTAGAGCAGAGACACCAGACCTGGAGAGAGAAGATGATGTGCATTCTTTGAGCCCCAAGAAGCTCTGAAGCCGCTGTGGGCTAGGTCATTTGTCTCTGAGCAGTGCTGCCACGGCGCAGTTGGCAGACTCTTTGCCTCATGTCTCCTGATTGAACTCATCTGCTTGCCTGGGTTTTCTTCTACTTAAATCTTTCCCTCATGTCTCCTGATTGAACTCATCTGCTTGCCTGGGTTTTCTTCTACTTAAATGTAGATGAGTCCCAAATCTGTGTCTAGGCTCAGTCTTTCTGAATTCAACCTGTATTCTTTGTGATTCCTTTAAAAGCTATTTATTGAGGACCTACTATGTGCCTCACCCTATTCCAGTGGTTGGAGGCACAGTAGTGGTCAAAACAGAGCAACATCTCTACCCTCATGGAGCCACATCCTGGTGGGAGAGAAGATGTTAAGGTAGAAATAAGCAAAATACTGGATGTATTAGTTGATAATTTAAAAATACTGAGAGAAATAAAGCAGGCAAGAGAGTGGAAAGTGTGAGAGTGGTGGGGGGGAGGGAGGAGGGAGAAATGGTGGGGGGAGGGAGGCTTGTAGTTTTAGAGACTGTGGCCAGGCACCCCTCATTGAGAAGGTGACATGTGAAAAAAGAGGGGAAGGAAGTAAGGGCATGGGACCTGTGGATCTCTGGGGGAAGAGCATTCATTCCAAGCAATGGGAAAGGCGAGTGCAAAGGTCGTGAGTCAGGAGCCTGCCTGCCGTGTCTGAGGGCCAGTGCGAGGGGCAGAGTACAAGGCGGAAGAGTAGGAAGTGAAGCAGCAAAGGCAAGTGCGCGGCAGGTCACATGGGCCTCGGAGGCTATCGTAAGGACTTCGTCCTGAGTGAGCCGGGAAAGCCATCATTTGAGTTTTAGGCGAACAAGTCCTGTGAACTGGCTGATTTTTGCTTTGCTTTGCTTTGTTTTTAAATTGTAGTAAAGTACACGTTACATGAAATTTACCATCTTAATCATTTTTTAAGTATACAGTTCGGTAGTGTTAAGTACACTCGTGTTGTGTAATCAACTTCCAGAGCTTTCTCCATCTTGGAAAATGAAAACTCCAAACTTACTAAACAACTTCCCGCTCCCCCTCCCCCCAGCCCCTGGCAACCGCCGCTCTACGTTCTGTCTCAATGAGTTTGACTACTCTAGGTGCTCATGGAAGTGGAGTCATAGGGTATTTTCATTTAACGCAGTGTCCTCAAGATTCACCCGTGTTAATAGCGTGTGTCAGAACTTCCTTTCTAAGGCTGAATGATAGTCCTTTGTATGTGTACCTCTGTCATGTTTGTCCATCCGTCCATCCGTCCATCCAATCATTGGGTTGCTTCACCTTTTGGCCACTGTGAATAATGCTGCTATAAACATGGGTGTACAAATAACTCTTTGAGGTCTGCTTTCATTTCTTTTGGATCAACACCCAGAAGTAGAATTGCTGGGTCACACGCTGATAATTCTGTGCCTAATTTTTCGAAGAACTACCGCACCATTTTCTTCAGCAGCTGCGCCAGGATTCCAATTTCTCCACATCCTCTGCCCCACATACCATTCCGGAGTTGTTGGTTTTTTTTTTTAACAGTAGCCATGCTGTGGGCGTGAGGTGCTATCTCATTGCATTTCCCTAACGTCTAGTGAAGTTGAGCATCTTTTCACGCGCTCATTCGCCATTTATCTTCTTTGAAGAAATGTCTATCCAAGTCCTTTGAACGTTTTTTTGATTGAGTCGTTTGGGTTTTTCGTGTTGTTGCTGTTGAGTTGTAGTTCCTGTGTCTTCTAGGTATTCACTCCTCGTCAGGTAGGTGACTTGCAGATGTTTTCTCCCATTCTGTGAGATGTTCTGACAGGATCTCTACGGCTGCTGGCTTGAGAATAGGCCATAAGGGCAAGGATGGAAGGTCTAGCCAGTCGCCTGGTTACCTTAGCATTTCTGAACTAGAAAATTTAGGATCACCATTCTCTGCACCCCCATCTGTCGTCTCCAGGTCCTGTGGACCCCTCTCTTCTTCTCTTGTGTCTGTCTGTCTGTTGCCGCCACCTCTCACCTGGTCCCCTGGGACATAGATGCCCTACTCCTCAGGGCATCTGCGAGGGCTTGCCTGATGTGGTCCCCCTGCCTCTGCCCTGCCCGTCTCCTGCCAGCACGCACATCCCACCCTCTGGAGCTGGCCCCGGCAGCCTCTTCCGGCAGAAGCCTCCCCAGCTCCGCCCTCCCTCCGGGCAGGTCTCATCCGTCCTCGCTCCCACGCTCCGTTGTTTCTCATCTCCATGGCTGCCTCTTCTGCTCAACAGGGACCTCTTTCCAGTGCATGAAAGAGACGCATCTTCATCACAGCATCCTTCCTCCAGCCTGGGCCTGGCACAGAGCAGGGGCCCAGAACATGTCTGATTCGGTGAATAAATTACACAGACGAGAAAAAAGAAGGAAGGTGTAAGATGAAAGAGCCAGAGGAGAGGACGGGGGGGGGGGGGGG